ACGCGGCCTTTAAGGGTTCAGGGGGGTTTAAAATTCAGTGTTACATATATATTTGCTTTTTGAAACTTAAGAACACTTACACCCGGATAAGCAAGACTTGGAACCTGCAGACAACAACAAACACGTCTGTCGCAAAACCCCGGCCGTTGATGCATAGCCTCCGTAATGGGGTATGTCGCGTGTGCGGGCCGCGGCCCTGTTACAAGCAATCAATATTGGCACGCGGCCATATGTATGTCCTAGAAGTTACAGCACATGTAAAAAGAATATGATATGTTTCATGTTGTTGTAATAGTTTAAGCACAAACACGGTGGACCGATAACAGTACCACCATGTCGTCTGTGCTGTTTAGTGTGCAGTTGGCGAGATAACAATACACAAACAAGAGAGGGGGAGACGGTGGACCGAAAGCAGTACCACCGTGTTCAGGGACCGAAAACAGTACCCCGCTTTCCCGGAGACCGAAAACAGTACTCCGAGTTGAGTTAACACTGCATTCACTGTAGGCTCCGCGCATTCGATGGTGAGAATCAAAAGCGACCATACCTGACGCCAGACTTTATTTTAATATTAATGTAAAAAAGCGCGCTGTAGAGTTCAAATCATTATACCTTCCGGTCCCTATAGGGTTTTAAGCTACTAACCCTAAAGAGTCTAAATAATTCAAATCCAGATTTAAATGATTTAAGATATTTGAATTATTTACATTATTTGAGTTTGTGAAATTTTTAAATTATTTAAATGGTTTCGGCTCGGAGAAATTCTCGACCTATTGAAATTCTTTAAATTATTTAAATTCACGCGCCTCGAAACTAATTTAAATAATTTAAATCCCGAATTAAATTATTTAAATTCACGGGCCTCGAAACTAATTTAAATAATTCAAATCCCGATTTAAATTATTTAAATTCTTTTCCGAGCCCGTCAATTTAAATAATTTAAATAATCTAAATAATTCAAATAGAATGAGGATTTCTCGGAACCCAGACCATTTAGATAATTTAAATAATTTAAATAATTTAAATAATTAAATAATTTAAATAATTTAAATCCTGATTTGAATTATTTAAATTAGTTTCGAGGCCCGTGAATTTAAATAATTTAATTCTGTATTTAAATTAGTTAAATTAGTTTCCGGGCCCGCGAATTTAAATAATTTAAATCTCGAATTAAATTATTTAAATTCGCGGGCCTCAAAACTAATTTAAATAATTCAAATCGCGATTTAAATTATTTAAATTCTTTTCCGAGCCCGTGAATTTAAATAATTTAAATAATGTAAATAATTCAAATCGAATGAGGATTTCTCCGAACCCAGACCATTTAGATAATTTAAATATTTTAAATAATTTAAATATTTTAAATCCTGATTTGAATTATTTAAATTAGTTTCAAGGCCCGGGAATTTAAATAATTTAATTCTGTATTTAAATTAGTTAAATTAGTTTCCGGGCCCGCGAATTTAAATAATTTAAATCTCGAATTAAATTATTTAAATTCGCGGGCCTCAAAACTAATTTAAATAATTTAATTCGGGATTTAAATTATTTAAATTAGTTTCCGGGCCCGCGAATTTAAATAATTTAAAGAATCTAAATAGATCCAGATTTTCTCCCAGCACAGACCATTTAACTAATTTAACTAATTTAAATAATTTATATAATTTAAATCGGGATTTGAATTATTTAAATTAGTTTGGAGGCCCGCGAATTTAAATAATTTAATTCTGTATTTAAATTAGTTAAATTAGTTTCCGGGCCCGCGAATTTAAATAATTTAAATCTCGAATTAAATTATTTAAATTCGCGGGCCTCAAAACTAATTTAAATAATTTAATTCGGGATTTACATTATTTAAATTAGTTTCCGGGCCCGCGAATTTAAATAATTTAAAGAATCTAAATAGATCCAGATTTTCTCCCAGCACAGACCATTTAACTAATTTAAATAATTTAAATAATTTAAATAATTTAAATCGGGATTTGAATTATTTAAATTAGTTTGGAGGCCCGCGAATTTAAATAATTTAATTCTGTATTTAAATTAGTTAAATTAGTTTCCGGGCCCGCGAATTTAAATAATTTAAATCTCGAATTAAATTATTTAAATTCGCGGGCCTCAAAACTAATTTAAATAATTTAATTCGGGATTTACATTATTTAAATTAGTTTCCGGGCCCGCGAATTTAAATAATTTAAAGAATCTAAATAGATCCAGATTTTCTCCCAGCACAGACCATTTAACTAATTTAAATAATTTAAATAATTTAAATATTTTAAATCCTGATTTGAATTATTTAAATTAGTTTCAAGGCCCGGGAATTTAAATAATTTAATTCGGTATTTAAATTAGTTAAATTCGTTTCCGGGCCCGCGAATTTAAATAATTTAAATCTCGAATTAAATTATTTAAATTCGCGGGCCTCCAAACTAATTTAAATAATTCAAATCCCGATTTAAATTATTTAAATTATTTAAATTATTTAAATTAGTTAAATGGTCTGTGCTGGGAGAAAATCTGGATCTATTTAGATTCTTTAAATTATTTAAATTCGCGGGCCCGGAAACTAATTTAAATAATTTAAATCCCGAATTAAATTATTTAAATTCGCGGGCCTCGAAACTAATTTAAATAATTCAAATCTCGATTTAAATTATTTAAATTCTTTTCCGAGCCCGTGAATTTAAATAATTTAAATAATTTAAATAATTCAAATAGAATGAGGATTTCTCCGAACCCAGACCATTTAGATAATTTAAATAATTTAAATAATTTAAATCCTGATTTAAATTATTTAAATTAGTTTCGAGGCCCGTGAATTTAAATAATTTAATTCGGTATTTAAATTAGTTAAATTAGTTTCCGGGCCCGCGAATTTAAATAATTTAAATCTCGAATTAAATTATTTAAATTCGCGGGCCTCAAAACTAATTCAAATAATTCAAATCCGGATTTAAATTATTTAAATTATTTAAATTATTTAAATTAGTTAAATGGTCTGTGCTGGGAGAAAATCTGGATCTATTTAGATTCTTTAAATTATTTAAATTCGCGGGCCCGGAAACTAATTTAAATAATTTAAATCCCGAATTAAATTATTTAAATTAGTTTTGAGGCCCGCGAATTTAAATAATTTAATTCGGGATTTAAATTATTTAAATTCTTTTCCGGGCCCGCGAATTTAAATAATTTAAATAATTCAAATAGAATGAGGATTTCTCCGAACCCAGACCATTTAGATAATTTAAATAATTTAAATAATTTAAATAATTTAAATCGGGATTTGAATTATTTAAATTAGTTTGGAGGCCCGCGAGTTTAAATATTTTAATTCGGTATTTAAATTAGTTAAATTCGTTTCCGGGCCCGCGAATTTAAATAATTTAAATCTCGAATTAAATTATTTAAATTCGCGGGCCTCAAAACTAATTCAAATAATTCAAATCCGGATTTAAATTATTTAAATTATTTAAATTATTTAAATTAGTTAAATGGTCTGTGCTGGGAGAAAATCTGGATCTATTTAGATTCTTTAAATTATTTAAATTCGCGGGCCCGGAAACTAATTTAAATAATTCAAATCCCGAATTAAATTATTTAAATTCGCGGGCCTCGAAACTAATTTAAATAATTTAATTCGGGATTTAAATTATTTAAATTCTTTTCCGGGCCCGCGAATTTAAATAATTTAAAAAAATCAAATAAAATGAGGATTTCTCCGAACCTAGACCATTTAGATAATTTAAATAATTTAAATAATTTAAATAATTTAAATCCTGATTTAAATTATTTAAATTAGTTTCGAGGCCCGTGAATTTAAATAATTTAATTCGGTATTTAAATTAGTTAAATTAGTTTCCGGGCCCGCGAATTTAAATAATTGAAATCTCGAATTAAATTATTTAAATTCGCGGGCCTCAAAACTAATTCAAATAATTCAAATCCGGATTTAAATTTTTTAATTTATTTAAATTATTTAAATTAGTTAAATGGTCTGTGCTGGGAGAAAATCTGGATCTATTTAGATTCTTTAAATTATTTAAATTCGCGGGCCCGGAAACTAATTTAAATAATTTAAATCCCGAATTAAATTATTTAAATTAGTTTTGAGGCCCGCGAATTTAAATAGTTTAATTCGGGATTTAAATTATTTAAATTCGCGGGCCCGGAAACTAATTTAACTAATTTAAATACAGAATTAAATTATTTAAATTCCCGAGCCTCAAAACTAATTTAAATAATTCAAATCATTTAATTCTTCCATACGTTCTCTATACATATAGAAAAACAGGTAGCAACATAGTACATAAAGGTCCCTCTCTCATATATATATATATATATATTCACACACATATATATATATATATGTATGCACTTATTTACAACTAGGATATTTGTATGAATATCGACACATGCTATTCTATACTCAGCACCCTTCAAAAATCACAGGACCACCAAAGAGGACCCTCAACACTTAACTTGGGCTTCCGAGGTTGCTTATTTCAGGGCTTCGGGTCTCGGATTTCGACTCCGTGGCTGGGGGCGTGGCGACCCGGCTTGCGCCCCCAAGTAGGCAAGTAGATTAGTTGGCCCCACGTATGGCGGAGTCGTAACCTCTCTGAGTCTCTGAGGGAATGGCAGATTCGAATCTTTTGAGCATAGCCAAGCGTGAAAGGCCAGGAGATTCCCCTCAAAGCTCCTATGATCCCGCCGGCAGCCCTCACAAGAGTGGCACGGCCCGTCGAGCATGAAGGAGCAGGCCCAGGCTGTTTTTATCCTCAGGCCTATACAGGTTAACGCGGCAAAAAGTCTAAACCCCAGCTAGCTCCCTGTTCAGGAAGAACCCTGCCAATTCTTCAGGGATTCAAGGGCTTCACTTCCTGCGCAATTATGCTAAACAGGCCCTCTCCGGACAGTGCTTCGTGGCCCACACCGCGGGGACATATCCCCAAACTCCCCTAGTTTGTTGGAGCACTTAAATTACTTCAACCCTAAAGTCTCTAAAGCCTATGAAAACTTGCAGGGCAGTCCAGATCAACGGAGCGGGCGAACGCGGGCGTCGCCTCCTGCACGGAGCACTGGCGGGGGGGGGGTCAGCGTTCAGTGGAGTCAGGGATCAGGGTTGAGATTTCAGGGCTTGGGGCGAGGATTCGGAGCTTCACTCCCTAAGCCCCACCCAGAGTAGCTTCTGAAAATAGGGCGAATGTTTTTAGAACCCAAGGCAGCGCCCCCTGTTGTAAAGGGCAGATCGATTACGCTGGGTAACCCCCTGAAACCTCAACCCTAAACCTATGAACCCAGCGCGAATCAAACCCCTTCTGTTAAAGGAGAGGCCTCAAAGGGAGCAGTGCGGCCCACGCGAGGCATCGCCAGCTCGGCCAAACGCACCTAGTGACTTGTGTGTTGGTATCGGGTGCAGGTCTGTCGGCTAGGGGTCTATCTAGAGGGGTCATCGGTTTTGTGGTTTGGGGGTTGGAGTGCCTCCTGCCCCCTCCTCCCTCCTTACCCCTGAACCCCCCTCCACCCCCCCAACCCTAATCCCTAAACCCTAAACCCTAAACCCTATACCCTAAATCCTAAACCCCGCAACACGAGGATTGGGAACTGAGCCCCAGGCGAAGTTACTCCGCCGCGGCGCTGGGGCATCGGACTTCTCGGCCAGGGCACCTTTGCGGGTGTAGGGCTTCAGGGGCTTCTATAGGGCTTCTAGGTGGGAGCAACTTTGGGGATACAGAGACATAGACATAGACGTAGACATAGACGTAAGCATAGGCCTAGGCCTAGGCATAGGCACAGGCACAGGCACATATGAGGTGTTTTTAAAAGCGTTGGGCCAAAGTTCTCGCTGGTTGATCAGGGAATTCATGGTTTCGAGCTCTACTTGTGGAGCCTGCCCAATCCCATATCCGATATGCCTCTAACACCCTAAAGTACGAAACCCTTACACCCTACACAAACCCCAAACATCCTTAAGCCTGTAAATTGCCCTAAGCCTGCATTAAACAGAGAGAGGAAGAGAGAACAACAAACAAACCATTAACTCCAGAACCTGGCCTTCTTCAGCGTCGTCGCCCGGGGGCGCTGGCCGCACCACAGCGCCCTACAACAGCTTGGCTTCATCTGCAACTTCGGGCTTAGGGTTTTAGAATCAAGCCCCCAAAGCACAGACCCCTTAAAAAAGGCAAGCCCTAGACACTCTCAACCCCCAACAGTAGGCATCGGCCTTGAACCACATAAAAAAGCCCAAAAACTTCCCTTGAGCCCACCCCACCCTGACAAAACAACCAAACAAAACAAAGTCCATCCCCATCCCCCCCCCCAACAAACAAAAAGATATGAGCTCAAAATCCTGTACCCGTAAACCAAAAGCGAAACTTTTGAACCACCCAAACATTCGGATTCCTGAGCCCTAAACCGAAAAACCCTAAAAGCTCTTAAAAGCCACAAAAGCCCCAAAAACCTGAAACCCTCAAAACCCTAAAACCCTAAACCCTGAAAACCCTATACCCAAAAGAGCCTACAACTCTCTGAGCCAAAAGCCCTAAAAGCCTGAAGCCCTCGAACCGTAAGAGCCCTCAAACCCTGAGCCCTGAAAGCCCGAAAAGCTTCAGAAGCCCTACAGACTGAAAGCCCTGAAAGCCCTGAAAGCCCTGAAAGCCCCAAAAGCCCTGTTTAAAGCCCGAAGGCTCGAAACCCCTAAACCCTAAAACCCCCAAAAGCCCTTTGTTAAAGCCCTGAAAGCCCTAAACCCCAAAAGCCCCAAAAGCCCTAAAGCCCCTTTGTAAAGCCCTGAAAGCCCTGAACCCTAACAGCCCTAAAAGCCCTAAAGCCCCTAACGCACCGAAAGAACTAAAAGCCCTAAAGCCGAAAGATACAACTATACTCCCCTTAGAACCTAAGAAAATAATATGTTTAATATCCTCTTGGGTTTTATATAAACAAAAAATAAATATTTAAGCAATATATTATATATACATATATATATATATATATATATATGTAAATCCCAAGGGGGATACAGACCAGGGCTGCTCCAGCGCACCTCGGTCTTCGCCAGGTCCGGGTTCCGGCCGCCGGCCAGGCCTCCCAGGGCGGAGAGGGTTTAGGGTTTAGGGTTTAGGGTTTAGGGTTTAGGGTTTAGGGTTTAGGGTTTAGGGTTTAGGGTTTAGGGTTTAGGGTTTAGGGGGCTTTTCGGCCGCTGCGACGCCTCCAAGGGCTTAGAGGGGCATGTAGGCGGAGGGCTTCTTCGGGTTGAAGGGTCTTTGGGTTTAGGGTTCTGAGAGTTCCCTGTGGCTTAGGATTCTTGGGGTTTTGGGTTCTTGGGGGGGGGTGTAGGGTTTAGGGTTATTGGGGTTATTGGGTACAGTTTAGGGTTTAGGGTTATTGGGGTTATTGGGGTTGTTGGGGTTATTGGGGTTATTGGGGTTTCGGGTTCTGGAAGGTTCAGGGCTCTCATGGGGGTTTAGGGTTCTTGGGGTTTCGGGACAGCTTCCGACATGGAGTCCTAAAGGAGAAAGGTAAGGGGGTGTTTGAAGAGTATGTGGTAACAAACCAAGCCCTAAACCCTAAACCCTAAACCCTAAACCCTAAACCCTAAACCCTAAACCCTAAACCCTAAACCCGAAACCCTAAACCCTAAACCATCATTGCTACAGGGTTTGAGGGTGTAGGCTTCTTTAGCTTACTTGGCTTAGGGCTAAGGGCCCGAATGTCGCTTTTTGATTTCCCAAAAAAAATGCCATAAATACCCTTTTGAGAGCCCTTAAACCATGAAACCCCACATAAGTGTAAGAACCCTGAACACCCTGAAGCCCTAGACCCCCACAAGCCCTAAAACCCCCCAAAAACCTGAAACCCTAAAAGCCCTAAAGCCCTAAACCCTAAACCCAACCCCAAAAACCCTATGAACCCTATAAACCCTGAACCCTAAACCCTAAGGCCCTAAGCCCTAAGTTCTAAGCCCTAAGCACTAAGCCCTAAACCCTAAACCTACCTGCAAACCCCCAAAAAAGAATCCGAAAAGCCCTGACTGCCCTAAAGCCCTAAACCAGGCTCCGGCTGCCCCCCCCTCTGTCAAGTCCGGGCTCCGACAACCCCAGCTCCGCTAGGGTTTAGGGTTTAGGGTTTTGGGGTTTAGGGTTTGGGGTTTAGGGTTTGGGGTTTAGGGTTTGGGGTTTAGGGTTTGGGGTTTAGGGTCAAGGCTTTTGGGTTCGGGGTTTAGGGTTCAGGGCGCCACCTGAGAGGATGGTGGCAGAGCCCGTCGTTCTCAAGACGCTGCGCTCCTGGTTTGGGGGCGGTTAGGCTTTCGGGCCACAGGTTCAGGGACTCGAGTTGGGGGGGGCTTAGGGGGCTAGGGGGGGGGTTGCACGCGCAAAGTTCCACAAGTAAGTACCCGAAGCCAAGCCATGGATTGGGGCTGTGGGAAGTCTTGGTGGCCCAGTTTAACCATCTCAGATCTGAGGCTGCCCCTTCTGTGGAAGAGGGTAGCCTAGAACAAAAAACAGGGCTAAGGGGTACCCCTGGGCTACCAAGAAGTATAGGGTCGCGATTCCTGCAGGAGGATGGGGGTTGGGGCAGGTAACCGGGGGATGAGTTTCCGGAATCTTGCCGGGCTTGGTGAACATTACAGATCATGTAGCATGTGTTAGGTTTAGGGTTTAGGGCTTAGGGCTTAGGGTGTGACAGTGTAGGGTGTCGGGGTACATAAGTGATCCTGGGATCATCAAGGCTTTCCCGGAAGGCTGCTGAGGTTCTCGAGGGCTAACGAGAGGGCGAAAGGAGGGCATGGGTTTCAAGTCGGCTGTTTAAAACAAGAAAAAGGTTGAAGTCAAGATAAGACAATGTTGAAGAGCTCGTGGTTAAAGGGCTCCCGTGATTTTGGGGCCTTATGGCTGCGCATGTCGAACCTTCTTCCCCTACACCAGAAAACGCGGCAAATCCACCTTGGACCCTTAAGGTTGTACCCTTGGGATTTGGGGTCCCTTTCTAAGGATCTTTAAGGGAATATAAGGGCCAGATAAGGTGCATGTTAAGGGGAACCTTTAGGAGTACAACCTTAGGGGTACGAGTCTGAATCCCTTGAGCAAACATCCTCAGCAGCCTCAGCCCGAAATGGCAGCTCCGGCAACCCTGAGCCCTAGAGCCCTGAAGCCCTGCAGCTCTCATCGGTATGTGCCCAAGATCAGAGAACCCCTTTCATCAACCCCAAAAAAAGCCCAAACTGAAGGCAACAAGAAAAACTCAACAAATGGAGGGGCCCCAGGGGTGGAGGCAAGCTCTCTGATTTAGAAGCGGAGTTCTGCGCTGCGCGGTCTGTGGGAGCTCGTACATGGGGGCTTCCCTTGAAATAGGGTACTCCGTTTATAGCGAAAATAGAATAGAATCCCCTTAAAGGGACCCCCCAAAAAAGGTATCCCTATTGTGGGAAATAGCCATATATGTGGACCACAAGGGAATACTATCAGTAAATATTCCGACTCTTCTACTAGAGTGCTTGAGGGTCTCGGGAGTTCAGGGGGTTAAAACGTCGAGATATGAGGGCCAGGGGGGGGGGGGGGGGGGGCGGTTTGGGGAATGGCAAGCTGAGGCCTCAGGCTGTACCCGGAGACGCCCTAAAACCCTAAACCCTAAGCCCTACCCGGACCCCCAAAGTATGAAAACACAAATAGCCCCAAAATCCATTTAAAAAGGTCAACTGTTTCTGAGTTTTTGGGGGGTTTAGATAAGCCCCAAACTCCTACACCCTGAAGACTCAGGGTGTCTCTCCTCCTTCTTGAAAAACTGTAGGCCGGCTCTGACAAAGATCCGCTTGCCTGAAGGGTCCGGGTCTGAAGATCAAGCTTTGGGGCTAGCGAGCTAGGGGATGAAGGACTGCTAAGGTTTTTGGGATTTAGGGTTTAGGGTTTAGGATTTTTTTTTAGGTTCCGGGCTTTAGGGTAGAACTCCGAGGAGCCTCTGCCGGCTAGGCCGGTCTGCTACCGGGTTTTGCTCTGAGGGGTCCTGAAGCCACAGGCCCAGAATCCCTTGGTGCAGAAGAGCTTGGGGGGAAGCTTTCAAAACCAGCATGCAGACACCCCAAACGGTTCAGCATGTGCTTAGATAATCTTCCATAATCCTGCACTTGAGGCTCTACCTGGATTGTAGTCCCTGGTTCCTTTTTTTTTTTTTTTGGGGGGGGGGGGGGTGGCACAAGCATCTAACGCAAAACGAACGCGATTGGGAAAATTGGGGGGTCCGAGGACCCTAGGTAAGCTTCATGAACCCCAAAAACCTCGGTTGTAGCGCCGTATCCAACCCTAAACCCTAAACTTTGGCCCTAAACCAAGGCTCCGACAAAGCTTCTCGGGCGCCGTCTCGATCATGTTCTCGCGCATGAGCTCACGGCAGTGTGCCTTCAGTGTTAGGTTTTTGCTTCGGGTATTTAGGGCCATGAAAAGGGTGGAGAACGCTTGGGTTTTATACGCCTAAACCCGAATCAGAACTGCAAGCCCCTAAACACAAAAGGCTGTGAAACCCAACAGTAAACCCTGAATCCTCTAGCACAACAGAGCTTAACGAGCCCGTGGCTTGCTTTCTTCAGGGACCCAAGTTGGGCCCTGACTGAACCCGAGAGGTGGATTTCAGTTGGTTGGTTCTGGCATCCGGTCCGCTTCTTTAGAGTTCAGGAATTAGGGGTGTAATATTGGGGGATACCTATATAGTTATATACTATAATAACCCCCCCCAAACCCTATTCTAATTTTTTAAGTCCCCTATATGACAGGGCAGATCGGAAACCCCCAACTAGGAGAGGCACCAGGTAGCGACTGAGCTTCTCCGCTGAGTTCAGGAACGGGGGCAGGCGCACCACCTGACGGAGGAAGGGGCTTGAGCTTAGGGTTGCAGTTTCTTCGGCTATTTCTTTTGTGTTATATAATTATGGACCCTAAACCCTAAACCCTAAACCCTAATATTAGGAAAGCCGACCCTCAGCTCGCAAAAACCTTGTGTGCCGAAGCTGGCCCCTGCGTGGGGTTGCACGTTTAGGGTGTCTGTTTGAGGATATTCGAGGCTTTGTAGGGGGCTTTGTAGGGGCCTTGAGGATAGGGTTTAGGGTTTAGGGTTTGGGGTTTGGGGTTTGGGGTTTAGGGTTTAGGGTTTAGGGTAGGGTTTCGAGTGCTTCGTTTAGAGATGGGGATTTGGGGCTCCTGGTTTGACGCATGGGGCACGCTGGGCCTCTTTGCGCAGGATGAAGTGCACCTTGTCCATGTCCTGCACGGCACTCGCCCAACCCAGGGGCCTACCTGAACCCTAAACCCTAAACCCTAAACCCTAAAACCTAAACCCTAAACCTCAAACCCTAAACCCTAAACCCCAAACCCGAACCCTAAACCCTCAACCCTCAACCCTCAACCCCCAACCCCCAACCCCCAACCCTCAACCCTAAACCCTAAACCTGAACCCTAGACCCTAAACCCTAAAAATGCTAAACCCCAAGCCCCTAAGCTTCGACCTTCCCAACCCCTCATCCCTGCGCCCGTCCCCTGCATTAACACGATCAAGCTAGACGCCCAGCACCCAAATCCCAAGTTCAAAAACCCCCAACTAAACCCCGAACCCTAAACCCTAGACCCAGAAGTTTAATTAGTTTTGGGGGCCCCCAAAGTCCTCTGAGCGGGTCACAAGTAGACAGAGACTTGGGTTTAGAAGTATTATCATTAACCTCCAAGTCTGGGCTTACACCCGAGCGTCCGGGGGTCCCGTCCGGGGGTCCAGGTGTACGGGTGTTTTAAGTTTGGTACCGATTGCCCGCTACTGGTTGAGGTGGGTCATCCTATATTCAGGGAGGTCATCTTTGGGGGCTACATTCAAAGGGCATCTGTGGGGGCTACATGCCTTCAAGGGGCATCTTTGGGGGCTACATGCCTTCAAGGCCCTCAAGAACCTTGAGGAACCCGAAGCCCTAAACCCTAAACCCTAAAGCCTGAACCCCAAAGACCCACCCGAAGCTCTCCTGTAGCGCGATCTGCCCCCCATAGAGACGCCCAAAGTCAACCTCCTCGAGGTGCCTCAGCAAGAGATTTCGGGCTTAGGGTTTGGGGTTTGGGGTTTAGGTTTGGGGTTTAGGGTTTAGGGTTTGGGGTTTAGGGTTTGGGGTTTAGGGTTTAGGGTTTGGGGTTTAGGGTTGGCGGACTTTAGCGTCTCAAATCCGCCTGAGCAGAAACCATAAACCCTAAACTCCTAAATCCCAAGCCTAGACGCGCAGACTATTCCCCCCTCCGAATTCTCCACCAAACAAAAAACACACCGAGCCTCGCCCGGGGACTGTATTTGTCGACAGTTAAGTCGTATCTAACTACCCTTAGCTAGCAGGTAGAACCCATGAAAACGGTAGGCAAAGAGGGTCAGGTCATCTGGCCCTCGCTTCAGTCACCCCCCGTGGTGCATGTGGTCGCAAAATCTCTGACGCGGCTATCGCATCAACAAAATCCATGAAGTCTTGGTGCAAAGCTCGCGTGATGGAGCGAGAGCCAGGGCTTAAAACCCCCTATTTAGCCTAAACTCCTAAACCCTAAAGCCCTAAACTCCAAACCCTCTACCCTAAGCTCCACCGACATCAAATGCTTTGAGGGCATCCCCCCGGTGTGGGAAGGCTGGGTATGAAGGCTTCAGAGCGCGGTGATGATGGATTTAGGGCTGTCTAAGGGTTGCCACATGGTCCCTTAGTATGGGCTCTTAAGGGGTACCCCTGATATACCCCTTATAGACCCTATACATAAGGGCCCTATCTTCAGAACCCTTTGAGGGGGGGGGCTTAGGGGGCTTACGGGGCTTACGGGTTTCGGGTTTGCAGGATTCAGGGGCTTAGGGGCTTAGGGTTTAAGCGGGGTAGTCTGGGTCCACGGCATCAGGATCTCCACCGCGCCCTGAAAGTATGCCTGGCTCGGGGTCTGTTGGTAGGCTGCCATATATCCCATAAACTGAAAAAAACCCAAAACCCTATACTCTACACTCTCTAAACCCTAGACCCTAAACTCGAAACTCTAAACCTTAAACGGCCCTAAACTCTTACTTCACTTTGCTGTTGCTTGAGTCGGCTTAGGGGCACAGAAGCCGGACCCCTCTTTTCAACAAGAAAAGCCGCAGCCCAAGCATTTTGGGGCTTAGGGATTAGCCTAAACCCTAAACCCTAAACCCAAAACCCAAAACCCAAAACCCTAAACCCTAAACCCCAAACCCCAAACCCTAAACCCTAAACCCTAAACTAAGTGAGGGGTCGCTTCCGTCGAGCGACAGACCCCGAACGCTCGGCCGAGGGCCTTACAGCCCGAGCGCCCAAGCGAAAAGAGAAACGGAAAGGTGAGGGTTAAGCCTCACCGTCTGTCCTGGACAGGCCAACGGACATCGGCCTTTTTTACGACAACGTCAGTACTCGGCTAAGGGATGGCCGGCACCCAGACCACCTTTAGCGCAGCTAAAGTATAACCCTAAATCGCAACCCTTTGTTTCTGGAGATGGTTCAGGGTTTTGGGTTCAGGGTTTGCCGGGCCCCCCCCCCCGGGGGCCCCCTGGCGCCTGGAGGGGTCCAGGCAGGCTGGTTGCTCAATGGGGTGAAGGGCCCGCCCCGGCCAAGGGGTGTCGGGGCCAAGGGCCGACGCAAGCGCCCCCCGGGCCAAGGCCCCCTGCGGGACCTGAAAAAAACCGGGTTCAGGGCTAGAGGAAGGCCCCCCGCACCAAAGGGCCCCCGGGCGAAGAGGGCCGTACCACCAACGAAAAATTGCGCCCCTTTCATTTTACACCAGAAGCGCCAAGAAATCCCAGGAAGCCCCCAAGAGGCGCCAAGAGCCACCTAAAGGCTTCAAAAGCTTCAAAAGGCCCCCTAAAAGAAGGGGGACCACAAGATTTGTCCGTGCCCACAATGAAAAATGCGATTTTTGAATATTGAAAACGATGGTTTTAGGCACCCCTGCAGGCAATGAAAAATGTTGTTTTTTAGTACTGAAATCGATGGCTTTGGGCACCCCTCCATTTCACCCCAAAAGACCAGGAAAGCCCCAGGCAGCCCCCAAATCAGCAAGGGCCTCTACGGGCCCTGACGTGCCGAAGGCCCGAACAGGGCCGAGGCTATGCCGAACCCCAGCTTAAACCCTAACACCGCAAAACCCTTCAAGCAAATAAGGGCCTCTACGGGGCCTAACGTGCCGAAGGCCCGAAAAGGGCCGAGGCTACCCCGAACCCCAGCTTAAACCCTAGCGATTGAAATACTCATTGGCGAAAAAAATTAATAGGTTCCCTGACCTTCAAATGAATAAAGCCTCTACGGCCCCTGACACGCCGAAGGTCCGAACAAGGCCCCGAGAGACCCCAAGAGCCACCAAAAGGCTTCAAAAGGCCCCCTAAAAGAAGGGGGACCCCAGGATGCCCGGGTACGTCGTACCCGCAATGAAAAATGCGATTTTTTGGTACTGAAATCGATGGTTTTTTCCTTCATTTTACCCCGGCAGGGCCAGGAAAGCCCCCAGGAAGCCCCCAAAAGGCCCCAAGAGCCACCAAAAAGGCTTAATTGAGGCCCTTAAAGAAGGGGAATCCAGGAGCAGGCACAAAGGGTTTCCCTGACCTTCAAATAAATAAGGGCCTCTACGGGCCCTGACACGCCGAAGGCCCGAAAAGGGCCGAGGCTACCCCCAACCCCAGCTTAAACCCAAACAGCGCAACTTTAAAAACATCAAAGCAAGGATCAGAGCACAAGAAAATAAATTCCATAAACCCTAAACCCTAATAGAGTATAGTTTGGGTGGCCGGAGTGGGTTGACGGGCAACGCGAGCGCGCGGCCCGGGCCCGAGCGCGCGCCCTCCCCTGACACACCCTAAACCCTAAACCCTAAACCCTAAACCCTAACCCTAAACCCTAAACCCTAAACCCTAAACCCTAAACCCTAAACCCTAAACCCTAAACCCTAAACCCTAAACCCTAAACCCTAAACCCTAAACCCTAAACCCTAAACCCTAAACCCTAAACCCTAAACCCTTCCCTGGATTCCCAAACGGCCCCAAACCTGCCTGGTCCATGTAGAATGCCCCGGGCTTGGAGGTGTCGTGGAGGCCACGCTTCACGCGGCAGCAGATCTGCCAGCACCTTTCAGTTCGGGTCTAGGGTTTAGGGTTTAGGGTTTAGGGTTTAGGGTTTAGGGTTTAGGGTTTAGGGTTTAGGGTTTAGGGTTTAGGGTTTAGGGTTTAGGGTTTAGGGTTTAGGGTTTAGGGTTCAGGGTTTAGGGTTTAGGGTTTGGGTTTAGGGTTAGGCTCTTAGTAGGGAATGAGGGAGTTAGATACCTTACATCCCCCCATATATCGGAGGGATTATATAGGGCACTTCCCCCAACTATCTCTAACTCAGCGGCTTAGGCATTTGGGTGCTAGAATGTGGTTTTTGGTGTATAGGGTGTAGGGTCTACTTGTTGGGGTGTAGCTTCTTTTGTGGGGAGAGGGGATCCTTGCGTCCACATTAATAGAACTGCCTGTGCAGCCAACCCTAAATCTAAGCCCATAAACTTTACCTTCCGGATGCCACCCGTGGGCAGACATCATCTACTCGAAGCCCCAAACCCTAAACCCTCTTCCTAAACCCTTAATCCCAAACCCTAAACACTAAACCCCAAACACTGGGAGCAGGACCAGTATGCCAGCCATGCCACAGAGCCCCCACCCTCCCGTGCAAGCGCCCAAGGCGCTTGCATCTGATCAACCCCCCTCTGGACAGGGTTTCAGGATTAAAATCCCTCAACCTCCCCTAAACCCTAAACCCTAAACCCTAAACCCCGAAACCTCAACCCTGAACCTCCAAAAAACACCAAACCCTAAACCCTGAAAACCGCAAAGTGGGCATACGCGGGCCTCCGGAGGTCGCTCACCTGGGCTTTTGGGGCTTCAGGATATTTCAGGGCCTTTGGGTCTACCTCGACCCCCAACCCATGTAAAAACAACCCCAAACCCCTTAAAAAAGGGAACTGTTTTACATATTTTGGCGGTGTAGGTAGGGTTTGGGGGTTTAGGGTTTGGGGTTTAGAGTTTAGGGTTGAGGGTTTAAGAACCTTCTGAGTGCGACTAGGGAATGAGGGAGTGCGCCGAGGCCTCGGGTTGGGGGTGTCTTGGTAGCATGGCGCAGGTACCCCACGTCTCATGCATGTAGGGCAGCTCCGAGATTTAGTAGAAGCAAACGGCAGACGCGAGGCAGGCTGCGATCTTTTTGGCAGAGGCTCATGGACTCTCTTAGAACCTGTCATCTGCACCCCGGGCCGCAAACCGTGGCGGATCCCTCGGCGCGGAGTCGCTGAGCTTTGATGCCCCTTGATGCAGGCTCTTTGTCTCGGCTTCCACCGCCTACCAAGAAGGTCAAAAAGCCGAGTTTGCAACGCCATATTGACCATAAGTCCTCCGAGGCCCTCCTAGCCCTTTCCTGACTAAGCCTGCATCTCTGCCTACGACGAGCCCCAAACCTTGAACTGTAATCCTCAGCCCCAATAAGCCTAAAACCCTGACGCCCTAGACTGCAAACACCTGACGGTGGCCGAGGCAGCGGCATGCTTTCGGAGCTCCGCGAAAAGCTCCACGAAGCCCATCTCGGAAGGCTTTCGCACTCGAAGGTTGCAAAAATGGGTACTTAGGGTTCCGGTTTCTTCTTTGCATTCCTGGGTTATCTTGGTTTAGGGTTTGCTGGGCTTACAGGGTGTTTTACAAGGTCTTGCATAGGGTTCTACGGACGGGGTGCGTCTTCTAAGAAGTTGCTGTCTTTACATGTCCAGGCTCATGAGAGGCCCAACCCAGGGTGCAGGAAGAAGGAGGTTTAGGGGTTTGGGGGCTGAGTCTAGGGTTGAAAAGGAATTTGAATGGAGTTTTTGCGGGATTCGCGAAAGATCCACATAGTGCCACATAGTCCATCGTGGAGGGTTTCAGGGCTCCCGCGAAGATGAAGCACGTCCCGGCTCCTGAACAACCTTTACTATAGTCGAAACTCTGACCCCTAAACCCCTAAGGCCCCTAACTAAGCCCGCAAACCCCGAATCAAGCCCCGAAAATCCTGAACCCTAAAACCCTAAACCCCCTAAAACCCCTGTACAAAGAGCTTCTTGGGGGTGGGGGGGCCGGGCCTGCGCGCCGCAACAGACGGCCCAGTAGCGCAGCGCCTGCGCCGGCTCTGCGCATGGATTTAGGGTTTGGGAGGTTGAGGGCTTGCCTTGAAAGCCAGTAGACTACAATTGTGCCCTACAGTTCCTATTTTGGGGCCATGGTAGCCTCTATTTTTGCATAGCTAGGCGTTTAAGGTAAGGTTTAGGGGAGAGCTTGGGTGGTTTAAGTTGTTTCGGGTTTAAAGTTGAGGGATTTAAGACTGAGGAAGTTCAGGGCTCAAGGCTTCCAGGGCTTTTGGAGCTTCTACTAATCCCCTTTAAATAACCACCCTAAACCCTAAACCCTAAACCCTAAACCCTAAACCCTACACCCAAAAAGGAACTACAAGAGAGCCTTCAGGTCGGGTTTGGGATGTAGTGGTTCCACATTCCCGCGAACATATCCCTGCCTACTAGGAGCCACTTTAAACTTATAGGGTTTAGGGTTTAGGGTTCAGGGTTTAGGGTTTTGGGGTTTAGGGGCTAGGGTTTAGGGTTTAGGGTTTAGGGTCAGCCCTTAACCCTAAACCAACATCACCCATTCTGTTGTATGCTCGAACGTCGAGATGCAGCTCTGAGTTCGCGTAACAAGTGGCAACTCAAAGCCTGTAGGGTTTAGGACCGTCTAGTGTTTAGGGTTTAGGGTTTAGGGCTTAGGGTTTAGGAGGAGTTTACGAACTTCACAACACCCCCAATCCCCGTCTCGGTGTCAACGGCAGCCGATACATAAACCTGAAATACAACTACCCATGGGAGTTTGGGCCCCGAATCCCTACACCCTCAGCACCCCCTGAACCCTGTCGACTTGGGATGTTCCCCTGACACTAACAGTCCTCAGTAGGGATTATAATAAGGGGTACTACAATCCCTATTAAGGACTGTTAGTAGAAGGGGGAACATCAACCCGGACCCTCAACTACAAATCAACAAACACCCTTCAACACCGAACCAGAAACCCCAGCGCGCGCGGATCAACGCCCAAAAGCCAACGCCGACCGATGAGACCTCATAGGTAAACAAATTCACACACAGGTTACAAGGCCCCCACAAACCCGCAGGTATTTGGAGCCAGGTAAGGCAGAGTTTCGGGCTGTGGTGGGTCAACCCTAAAGCCCAAACCCTTAACCCCAAACCGGCTCCCAAGAAGAAGGGCCTGGGTGAAGAGGAGCTTGCAAGGCAGCGTCAGGTACCTGGCAGCGCGTCCCCAGGCCCAGGGAAACAATCTGAGGGAGCCTTATGAGGCGCCCTTAGCATGAAGTGATGGTCGCTTTTGGGGTACCCCAAATCGAATAACAGGTGCCAAAAAAAAGGGTCACACATGTAGGGAACGCATACCGGTCCTTCCCCATCACGGCCCCAGACCTAGATGCCTACGAGCGCTGCAAGGTGACGAAAATTCACGTTCCCCTACCAATCCATTCCACCATGGCATAACCAAAAACGCCTCCCAACCCTAAACCCATAATCCGAAACCCTGCCCTACACCCTACACCCCATAACCACTCCAAGCCAAGATTTGGTCTCTTGGCTACCCTCAACCCTAAACCGTTAAACCCTAAACCCCAAAACCTAAAACCTAAACCCTAAACCCTAAACCCTAGACCCTAGACCCTAAACCCTAAACCCTAAACCCTACCTTCCCTTTAAACCCTAAAAACCCTGAACCCTCGTGGTGAGCTTGTGCTGTGGCGGGCTTTTGAGTTGCTGCTCCGCCAGTCGGCGTCCAGGGTGCTCACGGCGGAAAATTCGCTGAAGCTGGCGCTTAGGGTTTAAGTCGTTTTAGGGTTTAGGGTTTAGGGTTTCTGGACCCTCTTTACCTACAGTTTTCTGGGTTCTACCTACGACTTAAGGGTAGTCACTACTACTGTGGCCGTCCGCTACCAAGTGGCTGGCGCATTGACAAAAACAACTACCATGAAGCGTAGGTAAATAGAGTCCCAGGGAGCCATATCAAGGGTGCCCTTACAAGTAAACCCTAAACCCTAAACCCTAAACCCTAAACCCTAAACCCTAAACCCCTGAATTCCTTCAACAAGCAGGCCATGGGCCCCTAGGGTTTACAGTAAAGTTTGGGGTCAAACACATGACCCTAACAAACCACGGTAGATACTAGCAATTCCAGACACAGGGCTCCCTAAACCTCTTAAACTGTAAACCGCAAGCCCCAAGCTCTGAACCCACTTAGGGGCTCACCTGAGATGGGACTTCAGCGTTTAAGCTCGGGTTTAGGGAGGTTCCTGACCTTCAACCCAGTACCCGAAGTGCCAACCTACCAATCGCGAATCCAGTGCCCTGGCACAGACCTACGCTGGCCTGCCCTGGACACTAATCCCCACACCCTCAACCCTAATCCCTAAGCCCACCCCTTGAATTCCTGCAGCCCGCTAACCTCTAGTTGCAGAGTTGAACAGCCAGGGGACCCAGGTGAGGAAATGTTCCTGCTTAAGGCTTAGGAACTGAGGGTTCAGGCAGTTTAGGGTTCAGGGAGTTTTCGGAGCTCAGGGAGTTGAGGGGGCTTAGGGAGTTTGGTAGGGGTTACGGATTTACTCCAATACCCCAGCTTCCACGAGGCGTTTCAGCAGCTCAGGGCAGAAGCGGCGGATGTAGCTGTCCACCTCTCGGCCCACCACTCCCATCAAAGGGCCAGGCAGGGCTTTTCTTGGGGTACCCGAAGCGACTCGTCAGTATTCTCCTGAATCGAAGACCCTAGGCACGAAACCCAAGACGTGACCACAAGCTTGCATTTGACATTGCTTCCTATATGGTTTTAACTCAAATTCTCTGTACATGTATACATACCTGTACATTACATGGATGTACAAGTTTTTGACATCTACCGATTCATGGCACCCCAAAGAAAGGGACGACAAGTTCGAGAAACCGCCCACCTTCCCGCCCGTCTTCTCCGGGAGAGGCTCAGCGCCAAGCTGCTTGGCAGCCTCTTCGATATCCTGGGCTCGGGTTTTTTTCAGGCCCGGGGTTGAGGGTTGAAGGGTCTAGGGTGAAGGGTTCAAGGGTTTCTGTCGCGTCTACTGTGGAGTTTACTGCAGGGTTTTGGGGGATTAGGGTGTGGGTTGTTTTGGGGTTCAGGGCCCTGGGGGCTGTCGACCCTGAACCTGAAACCCCTCAGCCCGAAGGCACCCCTTACGTTCCCAGTATAGGGGCCTGAATAATTAGAATAGGGTTTTTGCGTTTTGCGGGGTAACTATAGTCTCATTACAAAGGGACCAAAAGGGAGTATTCTCAGCAATTCTTATTATTAGCAATTATTCCGACCCCTATATTAGGGCGACCCGCTGCAAAGTTCGGCATTGAGGCTTTCGGGCTCGTATGGTTTGCCGACCTTACTATTGAACCCTAACCCCCACATCTTAAAACCGTGAACCCCGAACCCTTAAAACCTAAGACGCTAGTGTTTTGGAAACGCTTCCTGTCTGTTCTAGAGGTCTTCATCTGAGTCTCCTGTCTCGCCTTGTCGACAGCGTCTCTCGTGGCCATGACCTCGACGCAAACCCCCAGCAATATCTTGCAGGCTTTGCATCTGTCATCCCCGAACCCAAAAGCCGACAAGCACCAAGCTGGAGTGGGCCAGCGCACTCAACGCACAAAAAGGCCCTTCGGTACCCTCAGGCAACGACCCTCGGCCCCCCCCCCCCCCCCGCCTCTATCTCCATGACGCTGTGCCCAAAGTCTGCCTGACGGGCCCCTTCAACTAGCCCCAGAAGTGCGGCCACCTGGACCCCCAAAGTATGTAAAAGAAATCCCCAAACCCAGAAAGGGAAACATTTTGCAGATTTTTGGGGTGTAGGTAAACCCTACTTTCACCCGATTGCTTCATGGGAATTGGGAGAGAAAGCAAGAGGTTATGCGACCCAACGGTGGTTGTGCCAGGGGCTTTCTCGTCTGCAAACACAGAGCAGCATGGCGTGTCTTCATTCATGCCGATGAACGGCCCGTCTCCTCAGAACATGCCAGGCGTTGCGTGGGAGAATCTGTATAACATCCACATGAAACAGGCGCCTCAGATTAGTCACACGATGGTCCTGTAGGGAAGCACTTGGAGTGATAGGATGCTAGGAGAAGCTTCGAATAGAAGGGGGGGGTTTTCGTCTGTATCTATGGCGATACGATTTCTGCAGGATACAGAAATTTATCTCCAAACCAAGGATGTTGAGGAGGCTTGATATGACGTACACGTAGAAGGCATCGTCCCATTCATGGTGGGTTCCCTGCTTGTGTGCAAGTCTGTTAACGGCCCAAATACCCTCGAATTCAAATCTGTCACTCGGGGAGCAGGCATAGGGAAATAAGCCGTAAACCCCCCTAAGCTTGGGATGTTCCCCCTTATACTAATAGTCCTTAATAGTGACTATCATAGGCGGTACTATCCCTATTAAGGACTGTTAGTATAAGGGGGAGCATCCAAACCTGTAACCTTCAGGTTCCCACCTCGTCGGAATCCACGCGCACGGACCCAAACTCAAAGCTCTGGCGCCTGCGAGAAAGGGAACCAGGGAGCTAGTCTTGGGGGTTTAGGCTTCAGGGTTTTAGGGCTACAGGGTTTAGGGTTTAGGGGTTTTGGGGGCTAGGGTCTAGTAGGTGCGTGCATTTCAGGGTTCGAGGTACCAAGAGCCTGCATGTATTTCCTTTTTGGGGGTGCCTCACTGTGCGGCTAGTATTGTATGATCAAAAGCACGCAGGCACGATCAAAAATGGTACTTCAAGTGGGGGTCCGGCTCGTGATCTTCAGCGTCAAGACGCCAAGAGCCACGAAAGCTGTTGTGCAGGGAACATGTTTGCGCGAACAAGAACAGCAACCCAAAAATCCTAAGCAACCCTAAACCCTAAACCCTGAACTCTAAACCCTAAGCCTTAAACAGCACAAAAAGAGACTCGCAAAACCTTAGACTCTGACAAGTTCTGAGACCGCAAAGCGTCACTCGAAAGGCTGCGTATCTAAGACTAAGGGCTAAGAGGGCTTGGGGTTTGGGGGGGGGGGGGGGGGGGGGGGGGGGGGGGGGGCTTTTGAAGGGATTAGGGGTTATGAGAGGGTCAGGGTTTATAGGGCTTTCGTACGTTAAGGGTTTGTAGGGTTTGTTTAAGGGCTTTGGGTGTTCAGAGGTTCAGGCTTTTACTTGTGGGGGGATTGAGGGGGATGTCCCCCCTCAAACTCACAGTCCTTAATAGGGATTTTAATACCCCCTATTGACATCCCTATTGAGGACTGTTAGTATAAGGGGGAACATCTCACCGTGCAGGGTCTATTGAAGAGAAGGCTACTTTTGGTTTGGCTGAGGGACCGGAAAAACACAAAGAGAATCAGGATCAAACAGCAAAGTTCGAGGGTCCAAAACCCAAATAAGGATCAACACAAACCAAAAACCTTGTACTTCCTCAAGGCTGCAATAGGAGTATCAGACTTCTGGTCACCAAAATCAACATAAGAATGAACAACAAATCAAAAGCTCAATAGGTCACGTAGACCTCTTGTAATGCAGTCACCCTAAACCCTAAACCCTAAACCCTAAACCCTGAACCCTAAACCCTAAACCCTAAACCCTAAACCCTAAACCCTAAACCCTAAACCCCTCCCTTCGTCCCTTCTTGTAATATATAGGGGCATGGCCCAGTCGAAACGAGTAACAGAAACAGGAGCAGGAATAATTGTGTGCCCCCCCTTCCCTCTCTTCCATCCTGGAATTCCTTCCTCCCTTCCTTCCTTTCTTCCTGTTTTGCGTAAGACGAGTAGATGTCGAAGAGCTGCAGGTTTTTCGTTCCGACATCTGGAGGAAGTGGAGGCTCTGAAATTACAAAAAAGCACCTACTTGTGCATGCTTACAGGGTCCTACAAGCTGCAAAAAAATCGTGTAAAGCCTTCCGGAGCTTGGACTTTTTTTTGACCCTACCTGATTCTTCGATCCTTATTTGCCTTTCTTGGATAAATGACTTCTTTTTATGCCCATGCCCTTTGCTGCCAGGCTGCTTGGTGGCGATGGTGGCGAAAGGTTGCAGGGTCGACTCCAAATCGCCACCCTGCGGCGGGCCAGGGCCGAGGGCTTATGCTTATCGCTTATAACACCCTAAGCCCTAGACTCGAACTCCTAAACCCTAATAGTCCTGAAGCCTGAACCCGAACCCCTCCAAGGTCTACAGGCTTTATCCCTGGGAGGCCTTTCGGATCTTGGCTCCCTTCATATGTGATGTCGCTCTAACTCAGCTGCCTTGAGTATACTATACTCTTCTGTTTGTGGCATTTTGCTTTTCTTGAAATAGTAGAACTCCTTAGACCCCCTGATTCTTGGTAGGGAATGAGGGAATGAAAGCCCTATATCATCCCTTAAAGGGTATATATGGTTGTGCGCTGTGCGTTCTCGGCCCCCCCCCCCCCCGCCCCAAGGTATCCCCCCCTCCATGGTCTGCGTCTCCCCTAAACCAACCCTAAACCCTAAACCCTAAACTAAGCCCTAAGCCCTAAGCCCTGAGCCCGAAGCCCTAAGCCCTATACCCTAAACCCTAAAACCTTAAAACCCTAAACCCTACCCTAAACCCTAAAACCGAAAACCTTAAAACCCTAAACCCTAAAGCCAACCCATAACCACCCCACAGGGGGAGGGGGGTGGGGGGCCGCCGGGGCGCAACCATATATAGGGCCTCATTCCCTCATTCCCTACTAAGAACCTAGCATACCTTCTTGGGGTCCCTATTAAAAGGGAATCCTACTATTTGGGTGCTATTTTCGGTGTCCCCTATTTTCGTAAACCCCCAAACAAATAATAGAAGGCCTTTGATCAAAACGGAGTGTACGGGTCCTCCTCCACGATACCCATCTCGCGCAGGGTCTTCTGGATGGCAGCCAGCTCCTCAGGTTGGATCTGAGTTAGGGTTTAGGGTTTAGGGTTTAGGGTTTAGGGTTTAGTGTTTAGGGTTTAGGGTTCAGGGTTTAGGGTTCGGCAGCTCATGTACTAGCTTTCACTAGTCGAGCTTTTTGATCTTGTGATGGAGAAGTACCCACCCACGCAGAGAATCCTATATCATTAAGAAAATATACCGTTATCATTTTCAGCTGCATCTAAGCCCTAAGCCTTGAAACTCTATGCGCCTAAACCTTAGGCCTTGCACACTAAACCCGGGCCGCACCTAAGTCCAAGTAATGGGCTGAAATGAGGGGTGGGCGTGGGTGGAGCTGGGGGGGTGGGGTGGGGGGGCGGCAAGGCACAAACCTTAGTCGAAGGCACACGTGCCTTGCCGACTAAGGTTTGCGCCTTGCCGACTAAGGTGTGTGTCTTGCCAATGAAGGTTTGTGCCTTGCCGACGAAGCCATTAGCTTTTATATTTTGGGTTATAGGGTTTAGGGTTTAGGGTTCAGGGTTTACTGTTCAACCGCCTGAGCCCTGTAGCCGTTTGCTCTATAAGTTAGTGAGCCTTAAGAACACGTTAAGGCCAAAACGACGGGTTGTAGTTACATAAGGGGTACTCCCAAAACCCCTATACCCTAGCCCCCTAAACCCTACTACAGGGGTCGGAATAATTACGAATAGTATTCCCTGGCCCCTTTATGAATATACTATAATCACTCCCCAAAGGCCCTGTTCAAATTAGTAAGGCCACTACATTGCGCCCGGGCTTCCGTGAGCTCCAGGAACTCGGTGGTCTCTCCGCCCGAGCGGCGCCGCGCTTTGGAGGCTGGCACTTTCCTGGAGGTTAGGGTGTTTTTGAGGGTTTAGGGTTTATATAGGGTTTATAGGGTTTAGGGTTTAGGGTGTAGGGTTTTTTGTTGAGTGTTTTAGGGTGTTTAAGGGTTGTCTGGGTTCTTTATGGTTGCTTGGGGGTTCAGGGGCTAACGGGTCCTTATTGCCTTTTCGAGGGGCTTAGGCTTAGGGTTTAGGGCCTGGGGTTTCGGGTCTAGGACCCAGGGGTTGGGCCCAGGGTTTGTGGGGTTTAGGCCTGTTGGCTTAGGCCCTCTTAGGCCCCTACTATATGTAGTACAGAAGCATGGCTCAAGGCCATGGATGACTTCACACTCTGCCACAAAACCCCGCTGGGCTTCGAGAAATTCAACCCTCAACCTTCAACCCTCAGCCCTGCACCCCAAAACATAAACCTGAAGCCCAACCCAAGACAACTATGGACCTGCCAGAAGTCAAGCCCTACGCCTCTCAAAATCCCTAACCATCCTAAACCCTCGGCCCTCCACCCTGAACCCCTAAACCCCCTCAAGCCGATGGTCCCTAAAACCCGCAAACCCTGAAACCCAAATTAAACCCGAACCCCCCCCCCCTCACGCACAGGGGGCTTCCAACGGATCTTTCAACCAGAAACGGTAAACCCGAAACCCTAAACCTCAAGCCCGGCAAGCCCTCTCAACCCTGCAATCGCAGCTCCTGACTTCCCCCTTTCCGAAGTGGGCAGTGTATACTAGGCATGTAATAAGAACAGGTTTTTTGGTGGCTCTACTAGGACCTTATAGGGATTCTGCAGGAATGTGATGATATTGGTATAATAATACCCTAAACACCCAACCCTACAGCCCTAAAGCCCAGACCCCAAACCCCAAACACGAAACCCCTTAACCCTAACCCACCAAAATCACTGTCACTAAGCCCCACAAACCCTAAATTTGGGATGTTCCCCCTTATACTAAGAGTTCTAAATAGGGATTAGAGTAGGGGGTACGATAATCGCTATTATAAAGGGGAACATGCCAACCCTAACCTTATAAATCCTACCTTAAACTACGTGACCCCAACAAGGTACCCCCTAAACCCTAAACCCTAAACTCTTGATCCTCTCTATCTCGGCTCGGGTTCAACTCCCAGGCGCCGTCGCGCTGCCGCAGCCAGCAGTCCTGAAACCCAAGAAGCCTCAAAACACAAACACACACACATACACACACACACACACACACACACACACACACACACACACACACACATCGTGAATGCCCGGGGCCAGGCGTGAAAGAAAGACCCCGCAAGCCCTCAACCCCCCCCCCCTTTGTTGAGTGATGCTTGCAATGCTTGCACATGGCACTAGGCAAGTCCTGTAGGCGCCGTTGGCCATGTCATACGAACACAATGTCTCACACTTCGAAGATCTGAGGTTGCGAGTTTCGTCTTCAACTTGTCGGTCACAGGCATCTGGGGTTTAGGGCTGAGGGCTTGGGGATCAGGCGCGCAAAAAACCCTCAGCGCGCATACGCTCGGCCTGCGAGGTCAGGCGCCAGCTCCGGTCGTCCCAGTAACGGTCAGTAAACTCTTTGACCTGAAACGTGTGAGGGGTCTAAGATGAGGGCGCCCCAAGTGTCGGATTTGGGGTTGGGCTTAACCTTCGAGACCTTAAGCTCAACAACAAGGGGCTTGAGGCCCAATATTTCGGATTTAGGGCCTTGGCCTCAAGAGGCTGGCGCCAAGTTAGATTTTCCTTTGACTAGAGCTGAAGCATTTAGCTGTACTTGCAGAAGGTCGCAGTCCCCCCAGCTTAGGTTTCCGGGCTTAGGTAAGTTTACGGTGTAGGGTTTAGGCTTCCGGTTTTGGCTACTAAGAACATGTCTTGGACACCGTTGCACCTCCCAGGGCCCCCCTGAAAACAGTGAACCCCATACCCTGCTGCGCCGAGGCACGCCGAGGCACTTGCCGCCCAGCCCCGCTACCTGACAGGAACGGTTTTGGGCTTCTTTCTGCCCCCTAAAGCCCCAGGAGCACCCTCTTCAAACCCCAAATCCCAGACCATTATTTTCAGAAAAAAACACAACTCGATTGGAACCTAGTCAAACCCCAAAACTCCAATTAAACCCGACGCAACAAGCTAATGGTCTCTCAGCTATCCTCTTAGGATAGGTCTCAGTATGGGCCCTTCAAAGGGGACACCTGATATACCCCTCATAAACCCTATATCGCCCAAGGGCCCATACATCAGAACCCTGTAAGGAGGGTAAGGGACCACATTAAGGGCCCATCAAACCACCTTTAGATAATCTGAACCCTTGAAGTCCTATGGGTTTAGGGTTTGGGGTATAGGGTTTAGGGTTGAGGGTTCTATGTATAAGCCCTAAGCTCAAACAATTGTGGACTCTCAGGGGTGGCTGATAGCTCCACTCTATGTTTTCGGATTTAAGGAACACCTCCACGGATTTCGGGGTCTACGTTCAATTTTAGGGCTCAGAATTTTGCAGCTCCAATCGACAGGTTATAGACCCAATTATCCAGTGGGGACCGCTCTAGGCATCTGGGGAATGAGGGAAGGAGGTACCTTACTCAAGGGACTAAAGGAGGGACCCTTCTGAGGGACCTTAGGGGTACTGTAGGGGCTACTTAGGCATATAGCTATGTCATGTAAGGGTTATAACCCCTCCTTTTGTCCCCAAACTTATGGATTCCCTTAAAGGGCAAAATAGGGGGCTGATATGTGGTACCTAATTCCCTCATCCCCTTCCAAGAACCAATTGGGTTAAGCTAAACCCAAAACCCCAAACCCCAAACCCTAAACCCGAAGGGGAGTTTGCCCCCCCCCCCCCCCCTGGCCTTTTCGGCAAGGCCGGGTGGTGCGAGGAACTTCCTCTCCACTTCCACCAGGGTGGTGCCCATGCCCAAGAAGAGGAGCCAGGGCACCCGGCGGCGCATGGGTACGGTAAAGCCCTAAACCCTAAACCCTAAACCCTAAACCAAAACCCGAAACCCTACCTTTACACCTTCCGAACATATTCCAGCCTTGTAAAACCAAAATTAGGGAAATATGGGGAAACATGAAATCTCGCAAGGGCCTACCTAAACCCTGAGCCCCATCCGAAGCCCTGGATGCTTTTCAAGGGTGCAGGGTTTGGGGCTCGGGATTTTTCGGTCGTCATCAGCCTCATTGTAAGGCTTGGGGTTCAGAATCAAGGCTTTTGGGGTTCTCATGAGTATATACCGGGTTTGTTAGGGTTTAAGAGGGTTTTGAAGGCCTCTACAAGGGTTGCAGGGACAGGGTTTAGGCCGCCTGTGTGCAGGACAGCGCTGTACCTGCTGCTGCTGAGGGCCAAGACAGTCAGGGCGGTTCCGAAAATAGGGATACCTTTTTGGGGGGGTCCCTTTCAAGGAATTCTATCCTATTTGGGGCATGAAAGGGGTACCCATGTTTTGGGAACTAGCAATCAAGCCAAAGGTGTGTCACTGAGAGCTTCCTGGGCTTTGCATAGGCCATACTCTCCGAAATCCTTCACACTGCAGAAGCCCTACATCCTCACATCCTCTATAAGCCCCCTCAACACGAAATACCTAAACCCTTACATCCTACATCTTCAGACGGTTCGGGTGTAGAGTTTAGGATTCAGGGTGTTGTGTGTTTGAACTTCAGGTGTTTGGGTGGTGTAGGGATTAGAGCTTAGGGTTAGGGGTGAGAATTATGTATCTACATATTACCTATCTGTCTATATACTAGGAGTTCCAACTTAATCCCAAACCCTAGCAACTTCAACAGGAAGGGAGGACGTGTTGAGCGTGGCGAAGCCCTCCTCCGTGATCCACGGATTCCTTCAGAAGGTTGCAGAGAAGAGACCCCCAGTATAGGAGCCTAGACATGTGCCAAGGTTGCCCAACAGTATCATTCTTATTTAGGCCTTCATTGTCGAACTGCACGAGTACTAAATGGGGTGGTACTCATGTTTTTATGCTTGCGATATTCGGACAGAGTAGGACGCCAGGTGGCCACGGGTCGACACTCCAAATTTCAAGCCGACAGGCTAAGACCAAAGTCCTAAACCTTGCGTGTTTATCTTGGTAGCCTAGTAACCATATTTTAGTAAGGGCACCCTTTTGGGGTTGGTTATTTTACAAGAAAACCTTGAACCACAAAATGGGACAAGGGTACCAATGCTACCAAGTTAGCTATCTCCCAGCTTTGTCACCCTCTTTCAAACTTCTCAAAAGAGCGATGGTTTGAAGCTCATACGCAACTAGGGTCCGGATGCCCAGTCTGACCAAGTAACTAAGGGGTTGAAGGCTGAGGGTTGAGGTTTAAGGTTTAGGCTTTTAGCTGCTAATTTCAAAATGATCTATGGGTTGGGGCAGATAAAGGTGTCTTGCACGTGTTGGTGTGGGTTGCTTATGCTTGTTCTGGATGCGGTTTTTTGGGCGGAGGGCTCGAAGACTATCTTTGTCAATGGTGCTTAAGAGTTGTGAACTTGTATGCCCAGCTATGGAGATTCTGCGGATCCCTAAGATCTAGACCCTAAACCCCCTTCAGCAACAGTAACAACACTCATCAGGGTTCCACATCGCGATGGTCAACAAGGGATTAAAAGCAAAACTAAGGGACACCACATCCCTCCCCCCTTTCCGGGTTAAGGTTTAGGTTGTGAGTTTCCGGCTTTCAGGAAGTCCGATGCGCGATGCCTACAAAACCCCAAGCCCCAAGTACACCCTGGAACCTCTGCCGACTGTTAAACCCTGAGCCCTAAATTCTAAACCCTAAACATTAACCGAGGTGCTGGAGCTTGTACCGGTCGCGGCAGCCGTGCCAGACCTGCTGATCTAGGGAGGCCAACTTTTCGAGTCTACACTAAACTCCATTTAGGGTTTAGGGTTTGGGGTTTGGGGTTTAGGGCAGAGCTGGGATTCCCTTTAGTATACCTCTTGGGGAATGGGGGGTAAGGATGTTTCAACTTTTCGGAGTTTACTGTAGGGCCCGCAGGGGGTGCCGGCAAATCCTTAACCAAAAACGCCTGTCGGCTTAGGGCTTAGGATTTAGGGGTTTAGGGTTTAGGGAGAATTTTCGTGGGTTCTGCTTGCTTTCGAAGTTAAAACTCTTCCGAACTCTAGGGGTGTTTGGGGGTTCTTAAGCTTAAAGGGTGGGGGGTACCTAAATCATCTTACGGTGTTGCACTACATGCTGGGTAGATCCTCACTGACTTCATGCGCTTTTTGTACGCATGGTCTGGCGCGAGATATCCGGACTCTGCGTCGAACTCCCTCTAGGGGAAGGACGCTTACGGACCACATGCTCTTTATTGGAATAGGTTGATGGCATAAAGACTGGGATGTTCGATTCTATACTAACAGTCCTGAATGGGGATTCTAGTAAGGGTACTATAGTCCCGACTGCGGACTGTCAGTATAAGGGCGAACATCCAAACATGTAGAGTCGTTACATGAGTCGATTATCGAGTTAATACATTGATTTGGAACTACTTTTATCGTGAATTGGTAAAGGTAGAACAACAAACAGAATGCACACGAAATCAGTCCTTGTAATGATAAAGTTTTGAAGTTAAAATCCGTGTTTGTGTTCATAAACCTATTAATTCTATCACTAAAGATCCAAATTTATCCATTCAGGCACCTTGTACTCAATTCTCTCTAAGACCAAACCACATGCTGGTGCTGTTATTGGTGTGTACATTTTTCTGAGTTTTTTTGTCAAAAAAATCCGTATCCCGAGGTTCTACGAAGCCTAAAGCCTAAAGGCCTTAGACTGGATAATGCTGCAAGATCCGAATGCCCAACCCCCAAAGCCGGGTGGGTCCCGCAAGCCCTCCAACCCCCACATGCAATCAACAACTGCAACGAATGATTCTGGAGGGTTTAGGGTTACGGGTTTAGGGTTAGGATTTGGGATGCATCCAGGCTAGTAAACCCTCGGTAAACCACGATAAGTCCAAAACGTGGGCCCTTCAACACCTGAACCCTAAACCCTAAACCCACCTAACCTGGTGCTCGTCATTCATCATGCGCAGGAGGTGCGTCCCCACCTGGGTTGGGGCTTTCGGGATTTGGGGTTCATGGCTTGGGGGATTTTCGGATGTCTAAACCCCAAACCCTAAACCCTAAACCGCTTTAGCTTCCAGGTATCAGGGTTTTGGGGCTTATGAGGGGGGTGTTCAAAGAAGCCGTTGCAGTGAACGAGCGAACCCGAGGCCCTAAACCCTAAACCCTAAACCCTAAACCCTAAACCCTAAACCCTAAACCCACTTACTTCGGAGGGCCCCCACGGCCCAGAAGGATTTAGGGGCGTGCGGTTTGTGACGCCCTAAACCCTGAACCCTAAACCCTAAACCCCACGAAGAACCAATTGAGGCATTTTCGGGATCTTCACATGGGTATCAAGGTTGAGGGACTCAAGGGGTCTCATTGCCTTGAGGGTTTGGGGGTTGGGGCTTGGGGTGGTACATGTCTACTGGTCCTTCAATGGAGGGAAGGGAGCCCTCGAAGAAATTCCCGCGGAATCCCAATGTTCTGCCCCCCCTCCCTGCGATACTCAAGCGTAGAGGTTGGTAGCACGTATATCCACTTGTCAACCCACCCCAAACCCCAAACCCCAAACCCCAGACCCCAAACCCCAAACCCTAAATCCTAAACCCTAAACCCCAAACCCCAAACCCTAAAACCCTAAACCTTAAAACCCCAAACCCTAAACCCTGAAACCCTAAACCCTAAAGAACCTTGGATGGCCTCATGGTCGCAGATCGACTGCAGGATGGGCTTGGAGACCGGCCTGGCCCGCGTGCGAGCTCTTCTGGCTGGCTCTTTGTAGGGTTTCGGGTTTAGGGTTTAGGGTTTAGGGCTTGGGGTTTAGGGTTTAGGGCTTGGGGTTTAGGGTTTAGGGTTTGGGGGTTAGGGCTTGGGGTTTAGGGTTGAGGGTTTGGGGTTTAGGTTTTCCTTCATTCCCTCAGTCCCTACTAAGAGCCAGGGGCTCTTAGGCCCGCTTGCCGCTTGGGGCCTCTGGCCGTCGTACCTTTGAGGTTGAGGGTTTAGGGTTTAGGGTTTAGGGTTTAGGGTTTAGGGTTTAGGGTTTAGGGGTTGGAGTTCAGGAGGTTTAGGGTTCAAGGTTTAGGGTATGAGTCTGAGCCCCAAAACCCCGCGGTCCCTAAGTTTAGAGCTTCAAGCTGATGGGCTGACATAGGACTTGCTTTTACTGGGCTAGAGGCTTTTGGAGTTTGAAGGGGAAGGAATTCGACAGTTGAAAAAACTTGACAGCACTCAGCTTCGTAGGCGGATGCTAAAGGGTGCCCGAGCCAAGGTGACCCAGGTAGGCAAAAGGTAGCTCACCCAAAGTACATGCACCCGATAGGCAACAGGCAACCCACCAAAATCACTCAAAGCTATTGCTATCTCACAGGCTTACCTTACAAGGGTATCTGACTCGGGATAATTAGGGTATCTCAGGGGGCATCTCTTCTGCCTTAATTCAGCCCTCAACCCTCAACCGAAAAACTCTCAACAAAAAACCCCTCAAGCTCTGAAGACTCTAAAGCCCGAAAGCGCCAAGCCCGCAGATGGACTTCAGGAGTTTAGCTTAGGTAAACCCCAGGCCCCCTATGTTTTAAGCCTTCAGCCGGGCAAATATGTCGGGGGATCCCATTGGCGATGTTGACGACGTAGCGGCCCTCTCCTAACGTAGCCTGGCGCGCACGTGCGGGTTGAGGTGCGCGGAGTCTCCGAACCCCAGAGGGTGTATGTACTTATGTGGTATATACCTGGGCCCTCAAGCTACTCTAGGGGAACCGGGACCACAGCTGATTGCAGAGTTTGGGACCTTGCGCGCACTTTCAGGGAAGGACTGGCAACACGGGCTTGGGGTTGTAGGTGTCGAGGGTTCAGTTCTACATATATATATATATATCATTACTATTATCATGTCAAATTTT